ATTCTAGCTAGCTTGGAATTCTACAATTCCAATACTGTTTTCAATTCGACTTTTGCTTTCAAAAGCAGCTCAAAGAAAACATGTAAAAATAAACTATAGCCATTGAATTCTACAGTGCAAATATACTGTGTGTTATAGGGAAGTAAGGCACGCTCTAGAATGCCCTTCAAGCCAATCAGAAAGGAGTATAAAAAAATGCCATGGTATAAATCTACAATACACTCTCAACATGCTGTGTGTAACTAGGCAGTTAAGCTCATGTGAACAAGCAGCAAGAGCAACAATATCACATATAGGTTAAAAAACAACAATACAAAGTTAACAGCCTATGACATCACAGTGTCAAAGGGACCCCAAATGTACTACAATGTTGCCTGTTCAACCCCCCTCCGTCTCAGTTGCTGTGGAAACCGTGGAGTTACAGTAAGATGCTTGAGGGAGAGTGGAAAGGAATGAGAATTCTGGGAGGTCATCCAGCGTTCCCGAATCCAGCTTGACCGAACAAGTTTTCAGTTTTGTTATGTTTTGGCCTCAAAGGCTTCTAGTGCAGTGGCGGATCATTTCAGTTTTCACACCTCTTAAACACACATAGCTGTTGGAGAAAAGGAAATATATACAGGGCCTCTCAGCAAAATGTCAGAATACGCAGACATGCATGCACACACACACCTTCACGGACATTTTCAACTTCTCCCTGACCCAGTCTGTAATACTTACGTTTCAAGCAGACCTCCATAGTCCCTGTGCTCAAGAACGCAAAGGTAACCTGTCTCAATGACTATTGGCCCGTAGCACTCACATCTGTAGCCATGCAATGCTTTGAAAGGCTGGTCATGGCTCACATCAACACCATCATCCCAGACACCCTGGACCTACTTGAATTCACATACCGCCCCAACAGATCCACAGATGACGCAATCTCTATTGCACTCCACACTGCCCTTTCCCACCTGGACAAGAGGAACACCTATTTGAGAATGCTGTTCATTGACTACAGCTCATCGTTCAACACCATAGTGCCTGCCCTCCAAGCTCATCACTAAGCTAAGGATCCTGGGACTGAACACTTCCCTCTGCAACTGGATCCTATAGGGAGGAGGTCAGAGACCTGGCAGTGTGGTGCCAGGACAACAACCTCTCCCTTAATGTCAGTAAGACAAAGGGGCTGATCGTGGACTACAGGAAACGGAGGGCCGAGGACGCCCCATTCACATCAACAGGGCTGTAGTGGAGCGGGTTGAGAGCTTCAAGTTCCTTGGTGTCCAAATCACAAAGGATCTATCATGGTCCATGACAACGCCTCTTCCCCCTCAAGAGGTTGAAAAGATTTTGCATGGGCCCTCAGATCCTCAAAAAGTTATACAGCTGCACCATTGAGAGCATCTTGACTGGCTATATACACGGGGTACGGCAAGCGGTACTGATGCACCAAGTCTGGAACCAACAGGACCCTGAACAGCTTCTACCCCTAAGCCATAAGACTGCTAAATAGTTAGGTAAATAGTTAGTCCGAGTAGCTATTTGGTTATCTGCATTGACCCTTTTTGTACTAACTTTTTTTGACTAATCACATACGCTGCTGCTGTTTATTATCTGTCACTTTATTCCTAGTTATATGTACATATCTATTTAAATGACCTCGTACCCCTGCACATCGACTCGGTACTGGTACCCCATGTACATAGCCAAGTTATCGTTACTCATTGTGTATTTATTATTACTTTTATTATTACGTGTTATTACTTTTCTATTATTTCTCTATTTTCTTTCTCTCTGCATTGTTGGGAAGGGCCCCTAATCAAGCATTTCACTGTTAGTCTACACCTAATGTTTACGAAGCATGTGACAAATAACATTTGATTTGATTTGACCTACACACACACACAACATTGCCCCATCGCTCCCGCTGTCCATAGTCCTTGTGCTGATTGTACTTTGTTGCTGTAATTTACAGTACAGTACTGGGAGCTACTAGAATGGCTCATAAAAGTTGCAACAATGGCGTCATACCAGACCAGAGATGTTAGCTTCACTTCCACATGTTTTGTCTGTCTCTCTATCTCTCACACACATACCTGTGAACATGCAGACGCTTTGTGAGTACGCGGCCATGGAATGCTTGCAGCTACAGAACCAAATTTGGAATTCTGATGTGTCAGATCTATGACTGTGTGTCACCCCTCTCTGAGAGGAGAGAAAGCGGGAGCGAGAGGAAGGGAGAGAGAGTGGAAGAGAGAGAGAGAAAACGACATGGGAAGAGTGGGGATGGATGACTAGACACAGTAGAGACAGGTTGAATTGGAACCACAGCTTTGCCAGACAATGGGAGCTCCAAACTCCCCTGAGTAAACAGCATGACTAAACCTACTCCCTACCTCTCTCTCTCGCACTCTCTCTCTCTCTCTCTCTCCCTCTCTCTCTCTCTCTCTCTCTCTCGCTCTCTCTCTCTCTCTCTATCTCTCTATCTCTCTCGCTCTCTCTCCCCAAGTGCAAAAAGAAACAAAGAGAAAAATGTGCCTGAGTCTCTGTGTGAGGTAGAGAGTGAAAAAGAGGACATAATTGAGTGTGTGTGTGCCAGGGAGAGAAAGAGAGAGAAAGCATGTGTGTGTGTGTGTGTGTGTGTGTGTGTCACAGCCTCTCTAGGGAGTAGAAACCTGTCCAGACATTAAGGGATGTCGACATCATAGTCACTAGTAACTTCCTCTCCACACATGTCTACAGGAGCGGGGCCTATAGGGAAGAGGGAGGGGCCTAGGAAGCCATGCCGCTAGACTACGCTATATATAAAGCAGCAGAACTCTCACACACTCACACTCAAATGATGCTTCTCTAGTAACTCACAGCGAAAAGACTGACAAACTGAGCTACTACTATTACAGCAACTCTCAAGCAACTCAAGAGCTACTTCAAGCTTATCTTCATCAAGTTCATCTACATCTTCCAACACTTGCGCTTCAAGGTAAGAGTGAGTTGATGATTATATTTTTTAGAGCAAATGTTAATGTTCTTGGAAATATGCCCAGAAGGCAAACTTAGTCTTGTTTTCCATTTGTTGTTGTTATTATGAAACAAACCACTAAATGGAAACATATATTGTCTGTGTGCATCACTAAACAAACTCAGAGGTTGTAACAATTGCATTGTAAGTTGCATACAGACAATATGTTGTAAGAGTCAATATTTGAACCCTGAACTTCTGAAAAAAAAAACACAGTATATTTTCAAATTCTACAACAGCAATGTGTGTTTAAAGATGTATGAACTCAAATGACCACCGCTGCACTAGAAGCCTTGAGGGCAAAATAAACTGTTCTGTTTCAAATGGTCCAAGTATACAATTAAATAGTCTGATTAAGAAGCATATTTTTTTACATATATGAAAACATTTACATTTACATTTTAGTCATTTAGCAGACGCTCTTATCCAGAGCGACTTACAGTTAGTGAATACATACATATTTTTTTTAAATATTTTTTATACTGCCCCCCCGTGGGAATCGAACCCACAACCCTGGCGTTGCAAACGCCATGCTCTATCAACTGAGCTACATCCCTGCCGGCCATTCCCTCCCCTACCCTGGACGACGCTGGGCCAATTGTGCGCCGCCCATGAGTCTCCCGGTCGCGGCCGGCGGCGACAGAGCCTGGATTCGAACCAGGATCTCTAGTGGCACAGTTAGCACTGCGATGCAGTGCCTTAGACCACTGCGCCACTCAGGAGCCAAATATAGAATGACAAACAAATGAGCAAATCAACAATAGCACGCAGTGGCACCCCAATAAACACTTGTTCAATTCTGTCTCTCTCTTTCTCTCACACACACTCACTGTCTGTCTGTCTGTCTGTCTGTCTCGTTTATTATCCCTTTTATACCATGGCTATAATTTAAAAATAAATTAATAAAATATAACCGGAACCCTTGGTTATAAAATCCTGCATAAGACACATGACATAATGGCCATAACAAACGCTCTCACCCATCTCTCTAGCTCTGTACATTTAGGATTAAGGTTACAATTAAAATGAGAACCCTCATACTCCGTTAAAGTGGAACTGATAGCATTTTAGCAACAATCGTATTAAAATCTGTTCATACTGTATACACCCCCAGGAAGAATCTGACACTTTAAAAAAATATCTGACAAGCGAGCACTTAGATATGGTAATTTTCACGTTTTCATAAATTCTTAGAATGTTTGGGAATTACGTCTCTCTCTTTCTCTCACACACACACACACACACACTCACTGTCTGTCTGTCTGTCTGTCTGTCTGTCTGTCTGTCTGTCTGTCTGTCTGTCTGTCTGTCTGTCTGTCTGTCTGTCTCTCTCTCTCTCTCTCTTCCTCTGTCTCTCTCTGTCTCTTCCTCTTCCTCTTCCTCTTCCTCTGTCTCTCTCTCTCTCTCTCTCTCTCTCTCTCTCTCTCTCTCTCTCTCTCTCTCTCTCTTCCTCTGTCTCTCTGTCTCTCCTCTCTCTTCTCTCTCTGTCTCTCTATGTGTGTGAGGCTGACACCTGGGTCTTGTCTCTTGTTTTGTCTCACCCATGTCTGTACCCACAGCAATCCAATGCCAGGGCCACTGTGCCAAGGTCTGTTTTCCATATTCATTAGTAGACACCGTAGCAAAATGTTTTGCTACAGAAAACGAAAATGTTTCTTATTGGTCAATTTGCTGCATAGTCCCTCCCTGTTTAAGTCAGTTTTCTTACGTTTGCTGCCTGGTGAATATGACCCTCTTTTTCAAAAGTGAACCATGTAAACTATTTTCATTTACTATCCTTCCTCCAGAAGTGTGGTTACATACCTCTGGCTGGGATGTCTGTACTGGTCCGGTTTAATATTACATATATTTGAAGGTTGCCCAACAAGAAACAGATTGAGCTATAAACACACTGTGGAATGCTTTTTAAAAGGGTTCTAAATTCTAATGGCTAGCAAGCAGAAACTGTGTCAAATAATTTATGCAACTGAGTCAGAAACGGACCCGTGTATTTGTTGAGAACATAAGACTTTAACAACTATGGTTTTAAATAACCCCTCAGGTAACACTCTTGTATGTACAGCAGCAATGCATCTGAAGGACCTTTTCATCTGTCTTTCTTTGATCCTTCTATCATTTGACTCATCTTTCTCCCCTCTCCAGGATGCTGTGCCTGTACGTGTGCTTCTTCCTCAGCTTCTCTGGAGTGGCCCTTTCTAACCTCCAGGAGAAACAGACAGACTTTGGAATGCGGGTCTTCTCCCATGTGGCCCAGACCTCCATGGGCTCTAACCTGGCCTTCTCACCCTACGGCGTGGCCACCATCCTGGGCATGGCTCAGCTGGGCGCTGGGGGTAACACCCTGAAGACACTCAATGCCAAATTGGGCTTCTCTCTACAAGGTAAGGGTTGACTGTTTTGTAGTCTCTTACCACAGCTGTTATGTATAACGACATAGGGTAGTTGCATGAGTTTTACAAAGTGAGACAGATGGTAGACTTGGCTTTATCTAAACAATGAGGCCTTGATAATAACATAACTCCAGGCTGACATAGTTATAACAAAAAGAGCCATCCTAGCCTGCGACTAGCAACATCCCCACTATCTCACCATCTCTATTTGCAATCGTGACTCATTCATTCTCTCATTCTCTCCATTCCACTTCTCCTCCTCCTCTTCCATTCCAGCCTTCTTTGTACTTTTAATCATATATAAAAATCATTGATTCCTCTCCTCCAGAGCGAGGGATGTTGCGTCAGCAGTGTCTGCTACAGCAATACCTCTCCAGTGAGGAGGGAGTGGAGCTGGCCAGTGGGGTCATGGTAGAGAAGAAGATGGCCCTGGAGAAGGGCTTCAGGAGGCGGCTGGGGAAAGCCTTCCAGGCCTCCCCTCACCAGTTGGACTTCTCCAGGCCAGACCAGGCCCTGGAATTCATCAACGCCTGGGTCTCTGACCACACCGCAGGTGAGATACAGTAGTATAGTATTGGCTCATACCTTCAATGTCATGCCCATCATCACATATTGCAAGTGTGCAATTTGTGAAAATAGATGAAGTTGTAGTAGATGTAGCAACAACAATGCATACAACACAACCAGTGACAGACAGAGAGAATACAAGTTGCTTGTTTTCTCCAGCAAATAAAACTCTTCGTGGGATTAGACCGATTTATAATCTAAACAAACCTCCCTAACGCTCTCTTTTCTCTGCTCCAGGTACCATCCCTTCGTTCCTGTCATCCGGTGCTCTGACCGACGAGACCCGCATGGTCCTGCTGAACGCTCTGCACTTCCAGGGGTTATGGAAGGTGCCCTTTGACCCCAAGATGACAGAGGAGAGGCTGTTCCACTGTGCCAACGGCAGCTCTGTGCCCGTACCCATGATGAGGCTCACACATCGCTTCAACTATGGTGGGAAACTCAGGATGTTTTTCAAGTGCAGAATTTTCCCATTAGACATTTTTACATTTAAGTCATTTAGCAGACGCTCTTATCCAGAGCAACTTACATGAGCAATTAGGGTTAAGTGCCTTGCTTAAGGGCACATCGACATATTTTTCACCTAGTCGGCTCAGGGATTAGAACCAGCTACCTTTCGGTTACTGGCACAACGCTCTTACCCACTAAGCTACCTGCGCCTTTTTACATCCCATTGACATTAATACATCCTATCTTCTCTTTAAATACTTTAGAAGTTAACTTAGGATTCTGCCCAAAATGAGGTATTCTAACATGAGATCTGTGCACGTAACTCAAGTTTTCGCATCTTCCATTGATATCATTTACACCCATTTAGTTAGGACTCTGCCCTTAGGGCATGCATTCTTCAACAGTGATTCAAACGAGTCCGCCCCAGCCCAGCAGCCAGTGTTTAAAACAGTCATGACTACAAGTACTACCTCCACTAATCAAACTGAAACTAATCCAACCTCTCCTCTCTTCTCCTCTACAGGTGAGTTCGAGACCCCCGACGGTGTGGACTATGACGTCATCGAGGTTCCGTACGAGGGCGAGTCCCTGAGCATGCTGCTGGTCACACCCTTCGAGTCCGAGAGGCCAGTGAGCGCGCTCAGTAGCGAGCTGACCACCAGACGCCTGCAGCAGTGGAGAGAGGAGTTGAGGAGTGTCAACCGTCAACTGGCCCTGCCCAGGTTTACCCTGGACACTGAGGTGGATCTGAAGTCTACACTGACCAGGATGGGGTTGGGGGACATGTTCAACCTGGCCAAAGCAGACTTCACTCGCATCACCAGTGAGTACCCTACCATTCATCACTTAGTAATTGGTGTCTGAAATGGCACCCTATTCTTTATATAGTGCACTACCTTTGATCAGGGCCCAGGGCTCTGGTCAAATGTAGGGCACTATGTAGGGAATAGGATGGGCTCTGTTGCAATATCCACACTACTAGCATTTCACTTTAGAATGTATTGGGCATATATTCTGTAGTATGAAAGTATGGACATTGGAAAGTGACAGACTTGGTCCTTTCTTTACTTCCATATGATCAGTGTGTGTGTTTAGCAAATACAGAATACTGTATGTTTCTCATTCTTTTTAGACAGCTAATCTAAACTCCCTCTCTTTCTTTCTCTGCCAGCTGAGGAAAGGCTGTGTGTGTCCAAGGTTCTGCAGAAAGTCAAGATTGAGGTGAACGAGAAGGGAACCAAGGGATCAGCTGCCACAGGTACATTACATGACCAATACTTATTCCTGATGATTTAACCAATAGTATAACGAAGTGTTTGACAGTTTTGACTAGGCTTTTATACAATACATTTATGATGAATTGATGATAGTATAGGCTACAGAGTTGCGTTTTGACAGTATTTGTTATACGGATGTACATAACGATAATTAATTGATGTTAAAGTGATGATACTGTACAGAGTTGCGTTTTGACAGTATTTGTTATACGGATGTACATAACGATAATTAATTGATGTTAAAGTGATGATACTGTACAGAGTTGTGTTTTGACAGTATTTGTTATACGGATGTACATAACGATAATTAATTGATGTTAAAGTGATGATACTGTACAGAGTTGTGTTTTGACAGTATTTGTTATACAGATGTACATAACGATAATTAATTGATGTTAAAGTGATGATACTGTACAGAGTTGTGTTTTGACAGTATTTGTTATACGGATGTACATAACGATAATTAATTGATGTTAAAGTGATGATACTGTACAGAGTTGTGTTTTGACAGTATTTGTTATACGGATGTACATAACGATAATTAATTGATGTTAAAGTGATGATACTGTACAGAGTTGTGTTTTGACTGTATTTGTTATACGGATGTACATAACGATAATTAATTGATGTTAAAGTGATGATACTGTACAGAATTGTGTTTTGACAGTATTGTCTCCTCTCTTTGTCCCTTACAGCTGCCATTATGTTTTCTCGTATGGCTGTAGAGGAGATCACCCTGGACAGGCCCTTCCTTTTCCTCATCCAACACAAGTCCACAGGTGAGTTTCCCTCACTGTGCCTCTACCACCATCTATGTTACAAACAACATCATGTTAGCCTTGGTTATCCACTGTCTCAAATCATCACAAGTCTAGCTAGCTGTGCCCTTTTTATACAAGTGCATACGCTTTCATGTAGGTTCAAGGGAAGTCCAGCCATTTTGTCCCTGCATATAGGCCCTCTGTAGCTCAGTTGGTAGAGCATGGCGTTTGCAACGCCAGGGTTGAGGGTTCGATTCCCACAGGGGGCCAGTATGAAAATGTATGCACTCACTAACTGTAAGTCGCTCTGGATAAGAGCGTCTGCTAAATGACTAAAATTTTTAAACACTGTATGATCTTGTACAGAATTATCTTTGACATACTTCCTACCCTGTTTGTCCTCTAATATAAAATGTTTGTTTTCCCATCCCAGGTGCTGTACTGTTCATGGGTCAAGTCAACCAACCCCAGCAACACTAACAGACCAATATACCAGAGAGGAAGAAGCGAAGAGAGAGGGATAACGGCCCAAAATCTGTCTTCTCCAGCGAGGAGTTTTTGTATGGAGGTCAATGAAAGTGTCAAATTTGGTTAACAAAAAATGGAATGGCTTATTTGCTTCATGTGGCTTATTTGATCGAATACTAGTTTCTTAATGCTTAGGTTGTTACGAGTGTACACTTTATATCAAAGTTGTGCCTGTTGTTCACGCGCATATCTGCCCTCCCATTGGCTAGCTAGAAAGGTCCCACCTGATTTTGCCTCCTCCCGACTGCCTTCCATTTTTGAATAGATGTATTTTCATTGTTAGAGTGGCTACTTGAGTATCTTGTCAATATAATGGAGAATCTGTGCTGATACACAACGACCATGGACATTCCTTTCATTCCATTGGCAGGGACACATGTCAATCAACTTGCTACTGAAACTGACCATGAATAGTTAAATCTATGACCTGGACAATAACTGTAACTTAAATTATACTTATCTGCATATTACCAAAAGGGCAAAATGCATATATTTTTATAAGTGAAAGTTTATATACCTGTTATTTGCGCTGATGTTTTTTATTTGTGAGCAATGGGTATGGATGAAAATGCCTGATATTGATATGAAGGGAAAATTATTGAATGGGTAAGATGTATTTTTATTTTGCTGTTGAATTGTATCTTTATTTTCTGTAATGCTCTGTTTGTTCCGACAAGTTGTATTTTTACAGTATTTATATATTTATTAAAATTACAACTTTTTTAAAAACATAATGTGTTGTGGACTACAATTTAAAAAGTTTGTGCATATTAGTGTTGACCTCTTGTGTCCATAACATGAATAGTGACTTAGAAAAGCAATAATTTAGTTGTTGGACTAGTTGGATCCAGAAATATAGGCTTTAATTCAGATAAATATACAATAAAATATGCCCCACAGTGTGACATTAGCTGTCTGTAACCTACCTGTTGTGGTTGCAGTAACTTTAGGCAACAGAGTAGGCCTAAATGTAATATTGAATGCAATTATGTGTAGAGCCTATGATAAAACTGCCAAGCTAAATTGTGTAGAAATCTATACAAATCTCTATCTTGCTGATTGAATAAGCCCCATGTAGCTCAGTTGGTAGAGCATGGCGCTTGCAACGCCAGGGTTGTGGGTTCGTTTCCCACGGGGGGCCAGTATGAAAATGTATGCATTCACTAACTGTAAGTCACTCTGGATAAGAGCGTCTGCTAAATGACTTAAATGTAATTGAACGCACACATTTTGGCCATCACTTCGTAAGAACTCAGTTTCCATGGAAACCACATGACTGTCTTGTCATGGCAACAACATCTGAACATACTGTACTGGTGCGAGAGACACATGCCCCCCATCCCCCAACAATCCTATAGCACCCCGAATCAGATTTATAATTTAATATAATCAACTCCTAAACGCAAACGAAACAACGTTGTGTCTACATACGTTTTTAGTTTTAGTTATGTCATTGTTTGAAATAGACCTAGTAGATCTAGCGAGTTCGCCACAGTTGGCTTGGCTGCAAACTGACTTCACCGGTTGCCTCAAAATGCGCAATGCGCATGTTCACTGAGGAGGGGAACTGCTGACGTCTGTCACCGGAGTCGTTCTTACTAGCTAGCTGGCTGAATGGGTTGCTTGCTCGAGCAGTAGTATTCTGAAACAGACATGGAATGTTGACGTTTGCTGTGTTTAAAACGAAAAGGAAAATCAAGTAATTCATATACAAAGATCCAAGTTAATATTTGCGTTGAGAACCTGATAAAATGGTAAGTAATTTCGGCAAAAAAAGAGATGAATAGCTAAAGCTAGCCGGCTAGCTCATTACATTACCTGCAAGCAAGGTGTATGGTTTCAGGAAGCAGAGTGAAGCAAGCTGGTTGGCCACCTGTGTTAGCTAGCAAGGTAAAGTGGCTAATGTTAACATAGCTACAGGTACTGTAGTCAACTTGCTTGCTTGCTAGTCGACAGGCCGCACATTTGAATTTTGCCTAATATAAATTCTAACTTCGATAGGAAGATGTATGTTGAGCTCACTAGCTAACAAGTTATCTTCGAAGGTAACCTTAACGTTACATAACTAAGGATTTTTGACATTTGCTTAGCTAGCCAAATAGTGTCGTGATTAGCCAAATAGCTAGCTTGCGACCTGGTTTGTTTGCTTACGACGAAATGTACACTTGAACTAGGTAGTTTGACATGTTCCTCAGGTTACTGTCATTGTTAGTGTGTGTGCATAGTTGGTGTTAACAGACGTAAAGTTAGCTGTTGACTGGCTACACGTTGCAGATACTCTGTGACCCTCACCTCTGACCTTGCACTACCTGCATTGATACAATGATCAATGTGTATTGATAAAATGGTGTTCCACTATTCAGACACCCCTTTCTCGTTTGCTGACCTGGTTGTCAGTCAGTTAGTTATGCTACTTCATTTGTATTGCTGCCCGTTTACTGCACCTTTACTGTGGACATAATTATAAACTGTTGACTATTAGACAATTGTCACCTTTGTCAACTTGAAGGGTGTCCAATCAAAAACGCATATTTTGACCAATGGGTAAAATAATATGTTACCTGTGTAGATAATCCTTTAAGAAAACCAATGGTCCAAACCTCATGTCTCTATCACAATCTGTTAAAAATCTATTGATTTGAGTTTTTACCCTTGTAGGACAGCCAGAATTAGGGTGACTAAATCAATGGAGGCCAGAGAAAAATGTGTTCAGAAATCAAGAAAATTGCATCGTGTCAGCTAGGCTGGATTCTGTGCAAGAATTAAGGCTACTGGCTACCTGACAGGCTCACTTTACTGTTGAGCTCATCATCTTTCTTCTCCAATCCGCAGAGGTAAGATGGATATTGATTTTGAGACATGACATTTAGTATTTTCATATTTTAGTATACACTTTTCATATTCATTCGAAATTCCTCTTCCTTTTTCAAGATTTCTCACAAAAACAAGTGTATCTCTGTGAAATGTCAACGGAGCACTGAGCGTATACCAAGCTTTTTATTTTCTAAGGCTATTAGGTTTAATTCAGTTTGTCATGCTGGTTTGGCTTTTTGCGACCCGCGGAACCAACTTGGAAGAAGACGACCACAAAATATAAAATCCTCAGAAGTTGTTAAAATAAATCTGACTGCAATGTCAACAGTGCTTGGTTCTAATTATCGGATGTATTAGGTTACAAAATCCGTCTTTTTGGATATAGTGTTAATGATATGTTAGAGAAAGACCCCACTGAACGATTCAAAACATGAATAATCATATTTGTCTTGGTAAAATGTATTTTATAACATACGGAAGTGAAATGTCATCACCAAATCACGTTTCACTCAGGGCAGTGTGTGGACACCCTACAACTTGGTAAATACTACCTACACTCCCTTCCTTCACCAGTACACTCCAATATAGGGAAATGCTGTCCTCACCAGTGTCCTACCACAGAACATAAAACCCCTTCCATGTCTCTCCTTCTCTCTGTCAGATTAATACTAGAGAGAAGGCACTGAGCGGGTTCGACTGTAAGTAAAGTGGAACTAGCAAAGAAGTTGACTGTGTTATTGATTGGTGTGAGTAGAGTTTGTACGGTCTGTCCAGTTCTGTGTTTTTAACCTAAAATCATGTGTAGCTCAGCTTTGCATCTATGTTTCGTGGTCACCAACCAACTAACTAGCTAACTAGCTAACTAGCCGGAGTGCCAATCTGTTTGTACTATCATATCAACTCCTTGTTTGGCATGACAATGAGTGACGAGTTGGCATGATAGCACAAACAGACTCGCACTCAGGCTACTAACTAACTACTGACGTTCTCTGTGTAGCTTTCAGTCTAATATTGTGTTTGCTGTAGCCTCAGCCTAACTGATACCCAACAGTTACTGTCATTAATATTTGATTACCGGTAATATACTAATATTTGTGGTTGGCTGGCCGTTGCTTCTTGATGAGTGATGGTTCTAAGTTGTACTAATATTTATGTTTTAGATATACTGTACACAGTCCTGTATAATGTGTTGGCTAAGTTGAATAGTGTTAGCCTGGTCTCAGATATGTTTGTGCTGTCTTGCCAACTCGTATATAGGAGTTGGCAAGACAGCGCAAACAGATCTGAGACCAGGCTAGAATACGGTGGGTTCGTTGACCATAGGAGTTGGCAAGACTGCACAAGCGAATCTGAGCCTAGGCTAGAATACGGTGGGTCCTTTGACTGCTTTATAACTAAGTAGGACTGCTTTATAACTAAGTAGGACTGCTGCTGCTACATCACACCACATTATAGGATCTGACACAGATGAGCCTAAGAATAATCTCCCAAAAGGAAGCTGCTCTATTCTTATGCACATCATGGCCTCCTTTACTTCACACTCCCTTGTCACATGCCCCTCTCTCTCTCTCTCTCTCTCTCTCTCTCTCTCTCTCACTGAAGAGAGTCTTTTGATTTTATTACATTTTTTGGAGAACACAAGCACTCCTCACATCTTCACTGTAACTTTCTCTCACTCACTCACTAACACACCACACACACTGTATGCAAATAGAATGATAGTCATTTCAAAAGGTGACTTTCACAGATGATGTTGTAGGACATA